TTGTTCACTTTTTATGAGCTACTCCTAATGATGCGATAGGCGATATGGCTGAATTTCTTCTCTGCTGTGTGGGGTAAAACAAGACTCGCATCACTGACATCAAAGTAAACGAGGAGAACTTGGGCCAGCCACAAGTGTAAAGAGAGCACCCCACACATAAAAAGAAACGAGAAGTAATAGACCAAAGAGGTTAGGAACCTCCTTTACCGGTGACCATTAGGCAAACATCTGTCAGGAAGCAACATCGACCTGAAAATCCTCCTGAGCTCTGTTGTGTGTGCTAGCTTGTATATGAACTAATTTTTGCCTTTTTTTTTTTTTTTCCTCTTTTCCTTCAGGTACTTATGATGGCTCCATAGACAGCTGCAGAGGTGATTCAGGAGGACCCTTGGTCTGCTTTGATGCAGAAAATGTGGCGTACGTCTGGGGTATTGTGAGTTGGGGCGAGAACTGCGGGGAGGCTGGTCACCCTGGCGTGTACACAAAAGTTGCCAGCTATTATGACTGGATTAGCCATCACGTGACAAGGAGTCTCATTGCACGGTACAATATCTGAAGCTCAGAAAATTAAATACTTCCTTCTTATCACCCATGCAAAAAAGAGTCCTTTTTTACAACCAGCAGCCATGTAACTTAGCACTTATTAGTAAAAATCTTTAAAGAATATATTCTGAAAATTCTTAACGCTCTGTGAATCTCACAATTTTGCAGAAGCCTGTAGGAAGAGAATTTTAGTGTCACATGAGTCCGCAGCAAAAGTCTCTAATAAAAGCAAGGAAGTTAAAATATCTTTTTGTTGTTGTTACTTTGGGGTTTTTTCCACACTTCACATTGAATTTCAGTTGCAGTTGTTTGTTTATTTAAAACGGACAATGATACTGAAAGCAATGGTTGGAAAATGACTGCACTGGAAATACGTGACCTTCACAGAAAAGACAACCACTGGAGTACTTTAAAGAACTTCTGTCATCTCAACATGTAGATCACTAGAAACCCTCAGGATGCTGCCGTGCTTGGCAGTTGATTCTTCAGGCTTACTGCGAAAGCAGACTTCAGACTATCTATTAACTGACAGATGGACTATGATCATGAGATCTGTTGTAATGCAACAATTACCCAAAGAATAACTCCGTTTGCTGGTAGTTCAGCTACAAACTTAAACAGTTTTGATTTAGTTAATATACCCCATCTGATCATCTAACTTTGGGCAATTTTAGTAGTTCTAAGTTCTATTAATTTAACCACAGCTGGTCACAAACAACAAAGGCATTTTAAAATTGCATCTTCAACTTCAATAAAAAGCATCTTTATTATCTTAAGTTCTCTGTGTATGTACATATTTCTGGTATCCAAGAAATTCTTAACATCAAATAGGGTTTTACTGCATGCGTGTGCGCGTGCGCACATACATATATAAATCATGTATGTACATATATAACAATATATAAAAACAGTCTAGATATTATACATATAGACTTAATTCTACACAACCAAGTCACAGATCTAAAGTTAAAAATGAATACTCTCAGGCATTAAAAAAAACCCAACACAACCCCAGATTCTCAAATTAGCACAAGCTTCCTACACCAATATATAAAAGTGTGAAACAGTAATGCAAAGAAAAAATACCAAGGGCCTGATCCTGCACAGTGCAGTCAGGGGGAGTTTTGCCATGGGCTTAACTGACCCAGAACCAGACAAAGACGAGGAGCCATCAACAAAAACGGAACGATTAAGCAGGAAAAAAAAAATACAGGCCAAGGGGTAACAGCTTTAAACTAAAACAGGGCAGATTTAGACTAGATATTAGGAAGAAATTCTTCACCAAGAGGGTGGTGAAACACTGGCACAGGTTGCCCAGAGAAGCTGTGGATGCCCCCTCCCTGGCAGTGTTCAAGATGAGGTTGGATGGAGCTCTGAGCAACCTGGTCTAGTGGAAGATGTCTCTGCTCATGGCAGGGGGGTTGGAAACAGATGATCTTTAAGGTCCCTCCCAACCCTTACCAGTCTATGATTCTATGAAGCCCTTCTGCCTTCAACAACCTTCCGAAGGAGTTCTGCCCACGTAATAATCAGGAAGCCAGCACTGGAGCACAGCCCGAACGACCCCTGCGTAAGCTTCGCGTTGTCAGACGGCAGCGCCAGTCTGTACGGCCTGGTGTCACGTTCGCACTGTGTGTTACGCACACAAATTATGCACAACAGCTTTTTCAAAGTACCAGAATTTGGTTTGTGGATTGGTGCCCTCAACACAAAGCTGTCAAATGGCTTCAAGACTGTCTCCCTCAGTTCCATCAAACTGCTCAATACTTTTAGAACATACTTCACTGGATTCTAATTTATAAATGTTTTTAATATCGGTTTTACTTTATTCCTCTCAATTAATTATCCTGTTGAATAAATGGACATTTTTTTAATGATTCACCATAATCTGTTTCAGACAACATTTTTACTTTTTAATTAACTTTTCTTCATCTTTCACTGTCTTCCAAAAAACCCATCAGCACGAATTTCTCCCTGTCAATCGTTAATAACTAAAGCAAGGGTATGAATTGCTCCTCTGAATACCCCACACCCAAGACTTGCTGTTTAGGAATGCACTTAAGGAATTACTTTGCTGAGTCAGGGCCTTTGTAACCACCGGGAAAAGCTGGACAGGTGCAGGAAGAGCTCCCTCTTTTGCTTTACTTAATTAGCTTTTGCAAAGAACTCTTCCCACCTATTTCTTCAGTTAACTACAAATAACGAAATGCTGAGGCTGAAAAGAAAAAACAGTAGAATATCTACCGTGTAACTTTCTGCTCTGCCTGTTGATCTGGAAACCCCTCAGGTTTCTTTCTATTTCCTGTTCTTGTCTACAGCTTTGTCCCGAGGCCCAGTGTCACTATGTCCCAAGGGATTCCACACGTCTCACAACAAAGCTTTCACTACAAAAATTAAAACAAATTCCACATGGTTCCACTTCAGCTCATCTCTGAAGCACCTAGAATTTAAATATAAAATTGATACGTATTAAAAAAAATAACCCTGCAACAGGATGTTTAGCGAGTTCATTTGGGTCGGATTTTTCTTTTCAGCAAACCAAGCAGGGGCTTTCGATGTTTAACAGATATACCTTCATTCTGCCCTCTTTTACAACCCCGCCTCGCACACGCGATGGTGTAACCTGCAACTGACCCCCTCACAGGCGCGAAGGTGGCTGGACCGGCTTCCTTCGCGCTGCACAACACCACAGAACCAGGTTATCACTTTAACGCCTCAGGCACGTATTCCCTTCGGCTTCTTCTTGGCTTCGAAACGAGCGTGCCCCCCGACGGGCCGTGTTTTTCCAGCCGTGTTAGCGCAGGTTCTCCCCCCGACCGCACCAGCATCCCCCGGCAGCTCCCAGGGGCAGCGTCTGCTGGGGCCCCCCGAGGCCTCCGCGGTGTCGGACAGCACCCG